CACACCCACACCCTCACCCTCACCCACACCTTGACCCACACCCACACTTATATCCATACCCACACCCTCCCCCTCACCCACACTTTCATCCATACCCACACCTACTCTCTCACCCACACTCACACCCTCAAGATGGTTTTTCGAGATTTTCTTTTTCGAAAATACAATTTTTCGAGATTCCGTCTTTTCGATATTTCTTTTTTTCTTTATTCTTGTTTTCGAGGTTTTTTTCTTCGAGATTTTTTTTCGAGATTTCTTTTTTCGAGATTTTGATATCATCCCAACTGACCTTAGATTCGAACTCCCCGCATCGAGGGTGTGGGTGTGGTGTGGGTATGGTGTGAGTGTGGGTGAGTGTGGATGTGTATGATGATATTAATACCCACACCCACACACACACCCACCCACCCACAACCACCCTCAAGATTTTAGTGTAAATGAATAATAGTTGTCCATTGACACTTTGCTAAAAAATCCAAAGTATTTGAGATAACTCGCCAGGCACTGGTATCTGACTATGTCGAGGAATTTTTTTTGTTTTACTAACAACAGTTCGTTCTTTTAGAGCGTACCGTGATCTAAATGAAAGTATCTATTTGAACTATGGGGATATGCAGTATGTATATATTGATCGCATACCTACATTCTCGCAAAATATTCTACAGTAATTACTTTCTGTTTATTTATTATCAAACAAAGAATAAAGTACTGAAATAAGTTAGAGTAAAATAACGCTATCTAGCGAATAAAAATAATTGGGTTAGTTAAAAAAAAGAGCAAATGTTATTGTTAAATAAGAGGTGTATTGATTGTTATCTTCTTTCGGAATACAACTCGCCAATATTCTGCATATCCTTGTTGCAAATTATCATAAAGTTGAGTGCCAGGTAATCCAGCCAATAGACGACAATAATCTTGATCTGGAGGCTGAATATAACGGTCAATAAAGTCAGCACGTGAGTTACTTTGAATATCAAGTGCATGAAGAACATTTCTTGTAATATTGATCTTCTCTTTAATAATAAATACATTATTTGCTGTTAAATAATCAATCAATACACTTGATCCATCTGCATTACACAAGCCACACCAGAGAAAGTATCCATCAGGAGTAAGCACACGAGTAATTTCATCGATGAATTCCTTCACTGCTACTATTTCATCAAAAACGTTTGTTGTTTCAATCGAAAGAACAATATCCGCAGACTCATTTTGGAATGGTAAATGGGTTTTTGGATCAGCTGTCATAAATGAGAGTCGAGGAATTGTTGAATAACGTTGTTCACATAGGTTGATGGTATTTCGAGAAGGATCTATTCCAACATAAGAGTGCGGAGTATATGTACGGACACACCAGGCAGCACCAGCACCTCTACCACAACCCACTTCGAGTATATTTTGATCCGTAAGTGTTACATTAGCAAGAACCTAGAATGAAAAACAAAATATTCTAATGATGACTGCTACTACATTTGTCACTCATCGTTTCATTCATTGCTCACTTCTTTCAAAAATACAGAAGTAGATTAAGACGGACCTAGTAGTTCTGTACATTCTCTAATATATTTTTGAGAAAAAGATTTAAATCCTATGTTGATATTGTCATTATTAAAACTGTGACTAGTTCATAAATAATAAAGTAACTAAAATTATTTTGTATCCTGTAAAATAAAATATAAAGGAATCGATTTGGACAATTTCTTTTGTATTAAATGTTTGACATCTAGTAAAACGGCCGTATTAGTTGAGAATATTGTGCTCTAGGATCCTATATCTAGACAGATTCCTTACTTTATTAACATTTCCATCGATAGTAAAAGCAAACTCTATTATGAATACTAGCGAGATGCTATAAAAAAACTCTCATATGGATTCTTATATTCATTTTCACTTACTTGTTGATAAAGTTTCTTCGAATAGTAACCAGTATGGTCATCAATATGCTCATCCACATCTGCATAACCCCAATTCATAAATTGTAATTCATTGACATCCGTATAGATAATTGAAATTTTTTCATACCACAAAGACAGTCGATCAAAGTTCTTAGATTTCTGTTGACATTTGACAATATCATCACAAACGGGTGCAGATCGAGATAACATTGGTTTTGCTACATAAGATTCTACAAGAAAGAAATTCAATACAATAAAATGATGCATATATGTATCATATGACATGATCATCAAAAGAACAGTTTAACTTTGAATGATATTACTTTCAAAGAAATCGAGAAAATGTGTGATATTATTTTTCAATTCTAGAGAAATACGGTAAATGTATAATCTTGTCAGGTCGTATGACATGTAGATCCTAGATCTTCGGATTTCATTGGAATACTGCTCAGTTTAATCAAAGCCTATAATGATAGAAATTGGATTTTCATTGCGTCTACACTGTACTACGTATAGAATATTTGAAATAAAAGTGAGGTTAACGAGAATATCGGAATAATTTAATAAATTTTCTAAGAAAGAACATATACATTATCGATTGGTTTCATGTTACGGAGAAATCGGACAAAATTTTATTCATCGATATGAAATGCTAACCTATCACTGATTTGTCTCATAGGATAAGATTTGAATAGATAGTTTAGAGTGCAATCTAACAGAAGGACACATTTAAATTTGATATGTATTAGCAACATAGAGCAAAAGACCTTAAAAGTATATTGAATACGTTGAATATATCATGCATAATGATCAGTTGAAAAGTTAATGACAAGAAAATCTATTTTATATGATATATTATATCGATTAAATAATATTCTTAGTCACTTGTCATCAATAATAGAAAATAACTTTTTCATTCTCAGATACAAGAAAAAAGTCATATGAAAGTTAAATAAGTATCTATCATTACAAGGAATTTAAAGAATTTAATTAATGAGAAGTCCAAGAAAGTCATGTTTTTTAATAATACAAATAAAGAAATATCCAAAAATCATCATGAACAAAATGAAATTTGCAGAATATTATCTAATATCTTAATGGTATTACACAAGTGTGTCTAGCTTCATCTATCTAAATGACTTACGTGCAGGAAGTCCTTTCCATTGTGTATTCGGTCGCAATAAATCATTTTTCATTATGAGTGTAAAAGGATAAAGCCGATTGTTACCCATTAATTTACAACCCGACATTACGATTGAGCCACTCATAAGTATACACGAGTTACCTACTGTAACAGGAACTAGTTTCAGGATACGCTGTTCGAAAGTGTGACCCTGAAATGATTGTACAGAACAAAAATCTATAGATAAAAATGACGCGAAATGTATATACTACCATAATATGAGCACTGACATGAAGTCGAACATGATCTCCAATAGTCACTAAATTGTAATCAAAAATAGAACAAAGATCGGGTAAAATCACGTTGTTGCCGATGTTCGCACCATATGCTCGAAATAACCGAATTAGCCATTGTGTATTGCCAAGAAATGAACAAATAAAAATTTCATGATCTACTTGTAGTTTTCTTATTATTTGTTCAATTATTTCATTATCTGTATATGAATACCATCGATTGAAACTGCAAACAATTATTGTATGAATGATTGGTCCACCAACAAGTCCACACGACCAATAGATGCCTATGAGAAGACATTTACTGATATAGTGGGAAAAACAAATTTTCCAAAATGGAATAGTTTTAATTTGATCTTCCGTTGCTTGTCTAATGGGCATTTGAAATGGCATAGCACGAGCTGGAACACCAATGAAAACATCTCCATTGTTGCTATTCGTTTCTCGAGTGATACGTGTTAAATTGCCAACCATAGTATGAGATGAAAGATGACTACCTGGTAAAATTGAACACATATTACCAAGATTTGTATAAGATCCGATTGTTATCCAATCTACATGATGGTCACCCTCAAGTGTCATCTCAGTTGGAACTAATAAAACGTAACCAAAAACAGTGACTCCTGTTTCAATTTTCAACAGATTTGTTGGATAGGACAAGAAGGTATTTATATAGGCAAGTTTGACATCATCTTCAACTTGAGCACCTAGCCAACGAAGAATAAAAGGATAAAGATGATCGTGTCTACTTGGTAGTAGCCAGACATGATAAAAACTAGATACAATTAATTGACGAAGCCACACCTTATGCAAATATGACCACGATCCAATTGGATATGTCTCGCCAGCAGCACAGGAGCCGACTACAAATTTTAAGAGAAAGAGAGTGACAAAACAAGCAATAATTGACCACAAAGTCCAGCAAAGAGCAATACTAATCGGTAGTGGTATTTGTTCAACTGAATAAACTTTGTAGACAATACCTAAGAGTGTACAATGAATACAGATCAATGAGATGATTGTAATAACTTGATAGATCTTGTGCCATTTAGATAATAATCTGTTACTATGTGTGATTGAAATGTCTGATGAAGCTGATTTATGTTCGTCACCATCGATAATCGTTCGAGATTCGATGAAACCAGTGACTGATGACATAGTCTGAACAATAATATTATCTTGCATATCAACACCACCAAACAGAATTGATCGGGCACCGATTGAACAATAGTAACCAACTTTAATTGAATGTAATGCAAAAGTATAGTCATCATTGTAATATAAAGAGTTTAGAGTCGTTTTATCAGCAATCCAAGTTTCATCACCAATATCTAACAACCATGGAGCATCAATAGTTATGGTATAAATATGTGCATTGGCACTAATCCGAGCACCACAAAGACGAAGATAACAATTGTACAAAGGTGTACCAAGTATATGTTGTAGCCAAAATGTATTGTTATTCCATAGTCGATCTAAAAACCACCAACGATAATAGTTCCAAGAGAAAACATTATCATCTTTGATGTTTTGCGGTGAAAGTAGATGTGAGCATATGACATAGAAGAGAAGATGACATATTGGTAAGATAGGAAAAAGAAGTGGACAGCATTGATGAATTATCATCACTGGCAACAACCACTGGCAAACAAGAAGCACTATACCTAAAGATTCGATGACAAATGAAGGTGTCAGACGATCATGTGTTTCATGAATTTCATTGACTGTCGAAGCTGTCTCTTGGAGTACTTCGAAAACTAACATAGGTTCTATTGCTTGAGCCAATTGTCGAATAGATGGATTAGTAAATAAAAGACCAATGTCAACTTTATTAGAGACTTGTTGACGAATCAATGTAAGTGCAAGAATAACACTCAATGACGTTCCACCATATTGACCAAAAGGAACCTCAACATAAGGGGATTCAATATGGAAAGCTTGACTATATATATCCTGTAATTGTTGTTCTAAGGTGTTGAGTGGCACATTACGACCAATATTGGCAGTTGTTGGTGCAAAAGTAGGTGGTGGTAGTAGTTTTCGATCTATTTTTCCATTTTCATTCAAAGGTAATTTCTCAAGTATAATGAATATTGATGGAATCATAT